CTCAGTGCGGCTTCCTGGCCCGGCAGGGCAGACATGAGGCCCTGGGGGAGCGAGGGGGTGGCTGTCAGAAGGGCTGGGGGATGCGCAGGGCAGAGGTGAGGCCTCCCCTTCCCCTGGCACAGGCAGCGCAGCCCCGAGGCTGCACAGGCTGCAGCCCACCCCTGCAGGGCCCAGGAAGGAGCCGGCTGGCAGGAGCGCTCACCTGCATGCCGTAGGGCTAATAGCCCATGGAGACTGACTGGCTGCCCATGTAGCCCATGGCACCCGACTGGGGGGCCTGGGAGATGGCCGGGATGCTCTGCGACTGCGAGGCTGCGCTCTGCGGAGGAGGAGAGGCTGGTCAGCAGCGCTGCAGCGATGGCTCATCTCAAACCAACCCCAGGACCAGCACCATTGTCCCTGCTCCGCTGGAACGAGGGTGTCTTCTTCCCTCTGCGCCGTGGGGAGCCCAGACCGGCTCCGACCCCGACCCTCTCCCAGTGAAAGCAGCAGCAGATCAGAGATCTGGGACCAGCCCTTCCTCCCTCCTGCTCGGAGATCCTGTTGCCAAGACGGGGTGAGTCGCACTAGCCCCGCGCCCCGGCTCTGCCCTCACTTGCCTGGTAGCCCTGCGTTGGAGTGGGCTGGTAAGAGGAGTACGCCGGGGTGGTGGTGGGCACCGCCTGCCCCTGCTGAGCCGCCTGCCCACTGCCGGCCCCCGGCTGGTACATGTAGGCGTTCACCATGCTGGGATCTGGGACAGAGAGGGCAGAGGTTGGAGCAGCTGCGTGGCACTCAGCCTCTGCCCACGCGGGATCAGCCGGCCGACGTACCCGTCCCTGCGACGGGCATGGCACTGTACGGCCCCGTGCCGCCTTGTGCTGCCTGGTTCATGTAGACGCTGTGCATGGGAGAGCCCTCCACAGAACCGGCCGGGCTGAAGGTGGCAGGGAAGCTGGTGGGCCCAGAGGGCTGGTAGATCACCCCGCTGGCTGTTGGCATGGCCTGGAGCTGTTGAGGGAACAACAAACACGCTTTAGGCCACGTCCCCTGGGACCTGGCAGGAGGGTCTCTGGCCCAGCAGCCGTACTTGGGCATAGGGCAGCGAGAAGGCTGGCATCTGGGCTCTCATCTGGATGGTCTGCTTCTGCTGTTCCAGGCGCATCTGCCTCTCCTTCTCCTGCTCCTGCAGCCGCTGGATGGCCAACTGACGCTGCATCTCCAGGTACTCCTGTGGGAACACGGCTGTGACGGCTGGGAGCCGGGACACGGCAGCATCCCCTCCTGCCTAGGCAGCTGCCCCTGGGCTGGCCCACGGTGCAGGCAGCCCTGCTGGCTGATGCAGCCCCAGCCCCCCCTGGAAACGCCTCCCTGCTCACCTGCTTCTTCTGCCTCATGATCTCCAGCTTCTGAGCCAACTGGATTTGGCGCTGGCGCTCAGCCTCCTCTGCTGCACGGCGCAGCTTCTCCCGGTGCTCCTCCCGCAGCGCGTTCAGAGCCCCACGCGCATCCCGGATCTGGGCCAGTTTGTCCTGCAGGCCTTCGTAGTACACTGGGGCGGGAAGAGACGGCCTCAGGGACCCTCTCGGGGCAGAGTGCTCGCACCACCCTGCACCGGCTTCTCTCGGGAGAGGCTGTGCCACGGGCATGCCGAGCCCGGCGCTGGGGGAATCCCCGGCAATGCCCGCTCCTCCTCAGGCCCCCCGCCCACGGCTCCCACGTACGCCTGCGCTCGTCCAGCTGGTTGAGCAGCTCCAGCAGCTGGGGGTGCATGTTGTTGATGGACTGGAAGAGGGACAACACGGCGGAGTCGTTGGTGATGCTGCGGCCCCGCATGTGGTTGCTCTTCATGCGGTTGACAAACGTGGTGACTGCATTCTGCAGTGCTTTCAGGAACTGCTCGTGGTTCTCCTCAGACTCGCCGTTCTGGTACTGCTGCTGGAAGGAGAGGGCAGCCAGTCAGCCCCAACACTCCCGTGCTGAGAGCCAGCAGCAAGCAGGCAGAGCTGCGTGACTGAAGGAAGGAGTCGGGTGCTTCTCACCCCTCAGGAGCTGCCGGACACAGGTCTGGGCCCCCTCTTACCTCAACAACACCGAGCGGGGCGGGGTGGGCTTCCCCCGGCTGAGCAGTGGGCTCTGTGAGGGACAAAGGAGCTGACGGGGTGGGGCTCTTGCGAACCTCCTCTTGTTTCTTCTCCCAGTAGTTGCGGTTCAGGTACCGAGCCAGCTACCAGAAAGAGAAGGCAGGTGAGCACCGCAGCCCTGCTGGGAGCGAGCCTGCGCCGTGCAGCGGCAAGGCCTGGATCCTTACCTCTGGGTCAATGTCCTCAGCCAAGGGAGCAGAGGAATTCTGGAGAGAGACAGACAGGGTAAAAGCAGTTCTAAGAAACCAGAGACCCGCTGCCCCCACACAGATGCCCTGCTCGGACCCGGCCATGCACAGCCACAGTGCTAGAGCACCAGCAGGAGACTGAAAGGGAAGACCCGTCTCCTTCAGCCAGACACACATTGCAGCTGTGGGAAGCAGCGGAGGCACCCAAGTGCCAACGGAGCACAGACCTTCTTGCTGAAAATGCAGCAGGACTGTGAAAGAGCAAGGGACTGAACGGGGCAAATCCCTCCTCTCAGAACAGGGACTGAATCTGACCCAAGCGGGGTAGGCGTGAGCTAGGGAAGAGGCCTGGGTCCAGCCACGTCACGTTCAGGGGCTCCCGTGAACCTACCACGGGTGGGGAATAGAGCGTGCTGACCGGGGGAGCCGATGACGTGACGGGGGTGGGCTCAGCCTTCGGGTACATGGAGTAGGTTGTTTTCTGCCTCTGCAAAAGAGAAAAGAAAGAGTCAACTCGGGGACTGTCCAGGCTCCTCCAAACCAGTCAGTCAGCAACACACTGGGCACGCTGAGCGGGCGATCCTCTTAGCGACGGCCACGCGGGGCCAGCAGACCCAGCCTCACGCTTCGAGCGGTTCCCGCAGGCCAGCGTGCCCAGGGCTTGCAGCTGGGGCACAGCCCGCTTCCCACACACCACGCGCCTCTCGTTCCACAGCCCTGCGACTCGCTCACGCCAGGGCGTGCCTAGAGATTTGCGACCGCCCAGCTAGGGGCACATCTGGGCTGTACAGCCACCACCACTCCCGGGTGCCAGGCAGGGCACAAACCATCCTCTCCTTCTCCTCGGCCTCTGACTGAGACAAGGCAATAGCTAGCTGGAGCTCTTCCTCCTCTTGCAGGGCCGTCTCGTCACGCTTTGGAGGCAGCTGCAAGCAGAAAGATGAGGAAGTGATCAGTAAAGGGATCAAGAAGCAGGTCAGGATCACTAGATCACCTACAGGGCAGCCACTCACCTGGGACTGCTGGGAGAGGGGGCTGGTCAGGTACTCGGGGGGCAGTTCGGAGGTGCCAGCAGCTTTACCCTCAGCTTTCCTGTAGTCAGAAAGAGGCAACAGCGCAGCCTGAACGCTCCTTCCTCTGTGCTGGAGCCCCAGCTCTGCCCAACGCCACATCTGTAAACCCCGTGCCCAGCCCAGCCCGCACAGCTTGGGAAACCCTCGCTCCGCTCTGCAGAAAGGGGGCCCCATGCCAAGCTTCTCCCCTCACAGTCCCAGCTGTTGCAGGCAAAGAAACACACCACAAAGGGTACTGACTTGTTGAGATGCTCGTAGCAGGGCTCGCAGACTCTCACTTCCTTCTCAATCCCGAACTTGGGGATAGTGGAATACTTGGAGGAGCATTTGCCACAGAAGATCTGCCCGCAGGCCCTGCAATGGTGCTGCAAAGGATCGGAGACATCAGTGCCGTAGCAAGACACCCCACTGTGAGACAACATCACTCAGACACTCCTGGCACTTCCCTGACAGTGGCCAGGGATCGTGGTCTGGCCCCAACACGCTTCCATGCAGGCTCAGGGAGTCCTGCAAGTCCCAGGGGGCCGTGCAGGACCAGGGAACCCAGAGGGGCAGGAGCGACACCCACCTTCCGTGTCACAACACCAAACTGCACTCGACATCTGTGACACTCCTCAGCATCGACCCAGTCTGGAGCCTGTCAGGGTTAAGGAAAATTGCATAAGGAGGGGAGGAGGGCCCGAGGGGAAGCGTCCCCACCAAGCCTTTCTTGAGCCTTTCGGGAGCTCCTACAGCTGACCAGGGCGCTCTCATGAATGGGGGAGACTGGAAGCATTTGCAGCTCCACAGGAAACGTTAATCCCCAGGAGTTATCTCCTCTCGTGTTCCTAGACACTGCGATGCCTCCCAGGCAGCAGGAGATTTTCTAGGAACGTGTCTGCACAGCAATCGCTTTAGCAATGCCCTCCTGCACCGTTCAGAGCGCCGTGCTGCTGGATGCCACCGAGTAGGTGAGACTAACTCCCTGTCCTGGTTGATTCTCCCCTCCGCCTGGTAGTTTTAGGTTAAAGTGCTGTACAGCATCTGGGACTGCCTGCCTGACAGCTGGGAGCAGCCTCTGACCTGCAGGAAAGGGAGGAATGCAAGAACTGCAGGGGAGAGGAGAGGCCTGTCCTGCAGCGCCAACTCCCCCCCCAGCAGCAGCACTCACCCGTTCTGCAGCGAACATGGCATCGCTCTCCTTGAACTCCGGGAACACGTGACCTGCAGGAGAAGCGACGGCGTCGTGAAAGGGCTCCTCTGGCGCAGGGAGGCCGTGCTGCCTCACGCCACGCGTCCCAGGCACACGCGTCCGGCCCGGCCCAGCTCAGCGCACCTGCCTC